GGAAAAACAAAACTCACTGGCTTTATATGTCTATCCAAGAAATAAGTCTTAAAAAAAAAAATAGCTGCCAGTATTGTGATGGCAGTGTGGCAAGAGAAATCCAGCTGGCTTAATGTTTCTGAGTTACATGCTGCTCACTGTAAAGTCTGTTTTCTCATTGTCGTTCAATCTCTGCGGAGTTCTTTATCAATAATATAGCAGTGCTTTCATAGACTCAAGGCCTCAGTTCTTCCCTCTTGTCTTCCCCTCCATTGTATCTTGTTCTGTTGTCCATAAGGGTCAAAGGACATTTTCTTTTCCTTCTCTGCTTTCTTATCTATTCTTTCTTTCAGACCCTCCAGTATGAAACAGCCTACATCCTCTTTGAAAGCAATTAGAAATACAAAAGAGAAGCAGACTCAAGTGGATCAATACATATAGACAGCTGATAAGAGAGCAGATTTGAGTGGATGGGACTCCACCTCACTATTCCTGCACTTTAAGAATAGTTTCAATATTGCCTCAAAGTGAATCCTTTAAAATAATTTATTAGATTTGATTATGATTTTGCCAGCTGTACTGAAAAATGCTCTATGAAATTAGGATGTTCTGTATCATATTACACAGAGACCATTTCCCTACAGTAACGCTGTGAGTCATTCAGTTTTTTCACTAGATTGACGTTATTTTTGACGTAAGTGGAATGCAGTCCTCGGAATAGATATAGGAGCAATGGAACTGGGGGAATGGAGTAGCATAATAATGGGGTTGTTGCAACACTCATATGCATTATTCCCCTCAGAAACAGTCACACTTCATACAGTCACCCTGTCGTGCTCATGCTGTTATCAACTAAAATGCTGAGCATAATGAGACACTTGGTGGCATTTTACACTGGAGCAGTATCTGCCTATCATTCACAGTCACTGCAAGGTCACAAAAGATAGGCCCTTTGGGGTCTGGGTTGATGCACCCTGCATTCAGGAGGTAGGCTGGTGTGGCTCAGAGAAACTGTAAAACTACTACCGCGAGAGCAAGCGTGGATTTAGTCTTCCTGGAATTGAATCTGGAACAAGAGGCTCTGCCACTAATTGGGCAATTAACCATACCCCTCTGTCTCTCAGGACTCTCCACTGCAACATGAGCGTGATAATACCATAATAACAACCAGCTGTGTGAAGATCAAACGCACTGATAGATA